CCAGACGGCGGCAAACTCGTGGGGTCCAGCCTGGGGCGAGAAGGGCCACTTCCGAATCGTGCGAGGTGCCAATGAGTGTGCCATCGAGAGCTTTGTGCTGGGCGTCTGGGGCCGAGTGGGCGTAGAGGACATGGCTCATCACTGAGGCCCGGCCTGCGGGGCCCGGCCGAGGGCTGGCCGATGAGAGGGCCTCTGTGGGGCTGCGGCCTGGCTGGGAGGATTCAGCTTCAGGTGCACATCGGTGCCTCCCGCTGCAACCCAGTGGGTGGGCTCTGGTTCTGCTGAACAGCGCTCTGCTGGGAGCTGAAGGAAGACACCCCGGACCTCCTGATGAGGTTGGACCTGGGTCTGGCCTGGGGGAGTGGGGGTCTGCTCCTTCCAGGCCCCAGACGCTCCGCCCAGCCCCACTGTCCCACCCCATCCCACCCTTTTACTCTTCCTCTTCAAAGATATTTATTTTTCTGCTCACTCTTTTCAAATAAAACTCAAATATTGATCCCTACAGTGCCTGAGGATTGCTGGGTACGGGAAGGCTGGCGCGTGGTTAGATGGCAGGGCCGCTGTGCCTGGGCAGGGTGGGTGGAATGGCACCATCGCAGGGTTCCCTTCAGCCCTGATTGTCAGGGCCCAGGGCACTGACCTATTTGGAGGCAGGCGGGGTATGGGTGGCATGGCCTTTGCCCCCCAGGGAAGAGTGGGCCTGTGGGAACCACCTTTCAGACTGAGTCAGCACTGCCTGCCAGCAGACCTGGCGCCAGTGCCCAGCGGGAAGGGGGGCACAGCCCCACAGACACAGCAGCCTCTGCCTCTGCAAATCGGCCTCTCCAAGCCACTGGGCTGAGGGCCCTCCTCCCCACGCCCACACCCCAGCTACAGTGCCAGCCTCAGGTTGGCTTTTCAGGTCGCTAGAACCTGACCCACCAGCCCACTCACCAGCTTCTCCACTCTGTGCACAGAGGACTCCCGAGTCCTCCCGCTCTGAAAGGTCCCGCTGCCAGCAAAGATCACCAGCATTTACACATGACGTTCCCTCTGGCCCAGTGGCCTTCCATCTCCCCGCGCCCTGTTCCAGGACTCCCCCATGCGGACAGTGCCTGCTGAGAATGGCCGGTCATGCCAGTCCCACCCACTGTCTGAGCTCCCCTGCACACGGCCCGGCCCAATCTCTTACCGATCAGCCCTGATGGTGTGGTGGGCTCGGGCTTGGCTGCTAGATGCAGTTTGAAACCACTGCTTTCTCCTCCAGTAAAGATTTACAGTCTCGGGAACCCACCACGGCCGTCTTCTCTTCTCTGTAGGGTCCCTCTGAGTTGGAATTGACTCGATGGCCGCGAGTCTTCTATAAGGAGCCCTGGCAGTGCTATGCACAGGGCTGCGAACCTCAAGGTTGGGAGCTCAAACCCACCAACTGTTTCATGGGAGGAAGATGAGGCTCTCTGCTTACTCCCTTAAAGATGTACAGTCCAGGAACCCCTCCATGGTTGCTATGAGCCGGCAGTGACTCGATGGCTTTGGTTTGGGGTGGGGTGGGGGGCACGGGCAGGGGTCTGCCCCCTCTCCCCATTACCCTGGGACTTCTATTTTCAAATACATATAATGATCACATGTAGGTTGTTGGTTGATGTGAATGGAGACACAGCAGCAAAGACGGGAGGGAGGAACATAATGTAACAGATACCGTAGTAAGGTTGTATGTGACCCTTAACTGCCTGTGAACAACGGTGACTATTGCCCATAGGTTAAATGTCACAGCTTTACATTGAGCGATGTGATGTGATGTGTGATCACCACCAAGAAGGGACACGCGGAAGAAAAGAAGAAAGATAACAAAAGGGGTTGGTAACAAGAAAAGCATCCAGTTTAAACAAACAGGGACAACTCGGAATTAAAGGAGGTGGGGAAGAAACAGACAGGAAGTACTAAAAAGCCAGTGGCAACGTAAGTGAGAGCGAGAATTCGTTTCAGTGACCGCCCTGAACGTGAAGCACAAGGCCTGGCCCAAGCGTGGGAGTCACCCTTCTGAGGGGCTTCAGAAGCACACTTCATTTCATGATTTGTGAAATGAATTCGTAGTGTCGTCGATGAGTTCTTTATTTTTAAATGGTGACAAGCACATTGAGCAAGTCACTCCAGATTCCATCCCCCCCAGTGCGACGAGTACCTGCTACTTTTGGTCCCCAAGGAATGGATGATGGGACGCGTGGATGGCTAGACCGCCCCACACTGAAGAAGAGCTTTGCAAGGGTGTCTGGGAGAACCGCAGCAGCATCTCCTGTTTGATTCAGCGTCAAGTGTGATGTCCACACGATGACACCGGAGCGCTCATGGGCAAGCAGAGTTGAAGAGAACGGCACTTGATGAAGCCCCTCGTGCAGCCAAACGCCAAATTCTCTGCAGTTGTGCACTGTGCCTGGGACCAGCTGCTCCTCCGTAATGCATCCCTTACCGAGGTGACGTCTACTCACCATATTGTAGATTTTACAATTTTTATTTTGATAAATCATTTTATGGGGGGCTCTGCCAACTCATGACAATCCATACATCAGTCACATTTTAGATTTTAGCTCCAATCCACTTCTGGAAAGCCGTGCCTTAGTCCCCTCCCACTCTACTCGCTCTCTTAGGACACATCACACTCCCTGTGCCTCTCTCTCTCTCTCTCTCTGCTCTCCCTCTTTCCCTCTCTGTTCCTTTGTTTTATATTGGCATATAATTAGCATACAATTCAATAGTTAAATCGTATCTAAAAGAGTGTACGATCCTCACCACAATCAACTTTAGAACATCTTCTTGCTTGTTCTCATCCTTATCAGCTCCCCATTTCCCCAACCTCCCCTGTCACGCCCCCAAGGAGCCATTAATCCAGTTATTGTCTCTGTAGAGTCACCCATCCTGGATTTCATGTACAGAGAAACCCGCCAACAGCAAAAATCCAACAATAACAAAATAAAACTAGGGAAAAAAACATGGAAAAGCAGAAAATAATGAAGAGCTGATACCAAGTAGAAGAAAATGTTTCGAAAATTATGATGGCAACATATGTATAAATGTGCTTGACACGATGGATGGATGGATTGTTATAAGAGCTGTAAAAGCCCCCAATAAAATGATTTTTTAGAGCAGAAAATATTAAAAACTAATACAAATGGAAAATGTGTCAAAAGGAGATCAAATAGGAAGGTGTTAAATTTGACCCTGAGAGTACCTGAGAGAGGGGCTAGGACTGGTTCCTCTGGGGCGGTGGGACCCACCCTGGGTGCCAACTCAGGGTGGCATTACATTTGCGGAATGGCTGAACAATTAGGTCTGTTCTTTCTCCTCCACTTCTCTCCTGCCCACCCCACTTCTCCAGACACAGAGATCAGTAACATGCCCTTCCCTACCTGCCACCAGGGGCTGTGCCCGGGGACAGGATCCTTGAGGAAAGGCCACACTACCACCTCTACCAGGCAGCTGAGGCAGGGAGCGCAGAGGGCCTTGAGGGTGGGCAGTGGGGAGGCCCACTGCTGCGTAAGGCCCTTCCCCTGATCTTCCTGGGCGGTCCACAAGGGACTTCTTTTGTGTCCTTTCCTGTTTGCCAGAACATCCTGAGCCCAGCTCTCTCGGGCGGCCTCCCCCCCCTCCCCCACCCC